CCCTTAAACTTTGTCGAGCCTCAGTGGAAAAATGTATTTGACCCTCATTTCTAACACTGCATATAAATGAGACTCATCGCACGCACAGTGTATGACTATTGTTAAAATTCCGAAAGCACAGCATGTCCAAACTCCGATGTCTTTGGAGTCTTAAGTGTGCAAGGATATGCTTCTTGTAACTGAAATGAATACTGCAAATGCTGGCTTAACTTTGAGATCGCCTGTGTTCTGAGACTGTTGTTGGGTTTTCAGGACTGGAGAGTCAATAAAAGGAATAAAACATCAAAAATCCTGGACAATTCTTGTTGAGTTAATTATTTTATGCTCTAATTGGCCTCGGCTCAAATGTTACTGGCAGCTCTAATCCTTGATCCCAAGAGCTTTCAAACAGTGGATTACCTATTGAAATGTTCAGATGTTCCCTTTCTTAGGAATACACACCATCCTCAGACCTAGAACGAATAATTAGGTTGTTTTTTTTTTTGCGTGCAGTGTGACTGTTAAAGAACTATGTTTTTTTTTTTCTCTTTTCCTACTCTTCCAACAAACTCATTACTTTTTGCTATAGTTTGATTGAGGCTGTTTGCCAAGGCAATCTGTCCTCATACCATTCTCTTAGTACTGAAAACAGCTGTGAATGGTCATAATAAATGTAGAAATGTTCATGTTACAATGAGGCATTTAAAGCAGCTTTTAAGAGAACTCATTTTACGGAGAGGAAAAGGATCCTAAATATCTTAGTCTGGTTAGCCTGTGCTAATAAAATGCCAACAGAAGGCTACAGCTTGTTCTGCATAAAGTGAATATTATGTTTTAAGACCGTTTTTTTTTTTTAAAGTGGTGTTCAAGGTTCACCTTGTGGACTCTGAAAAGTCATATACCAAAGAAAAAGTTTGACATAAACGAGCAGTGTTGTGTGAAACCAAAGACCCATGTCGACTGACAGGGTACAGTTATATGACGGGACTTTAAATAGCAAATATGACTCTGCACAAGTCTACAGCTCGGTCTTCCAAGCTTGTTTCATTTATCGATTTGTATACAAGCCTGAGACATACAGTAACTTGGCTTAGGTGAGTTTCTGAACCCAGTAAAGCTGCTAAAGGTGAGACAGTGATGACACCGATAACAATACAGCCAAAAGTTCTGCACAATCTGTTATGAATATTATCTTTCAGGGATGTTCACTCTGCATCTCGCTCGATCACTCTCTCTTTTTCTCTTCTTAGCTTGAATCCGTCACCGTCCTCTTCGGTCTCCTAACCTCTGCCATTGCATCAAACAGTTTCCAGACAGGCTAACGGGCTAGTACCGTTTAGCCGTATGAACTTCTCGCGAGAGAGAAATCGAGGCCCGCCGCGACACTTACATAGTGCTATAAGCAGGTTACCAGGGCGATCCGTGGACACAAAGAGACTTTATTCTGCGTGTTGAAAGTTGTTATACTATTAGATAGACTTTAAAAGAACTATTCTGAGATGGAAAAGTTGCACATTGTTGCTTTAACAATCTTGTCGTGTTGCTTTGCGTATAGTAATAAACAAGCTTCCTTTGAATTGTCAAACATGATACCTTACTTGACCACGGCCCATAGTTAGCTGGGGCATGCATTAAAAATAAATTGAAGAAGTAGAAAAGTGTTTTTTTTTTCTTCTTCTGAATGTCTTGATGGCTTTCATAAGAAACTGCATTAAAAAAATAATCTCATCTCCATTCCTCCTATCACACCCTGTGATTATGTAACCGTGAAATGCAGAATTTTGATGTTTGATTGAGATGGCAAATGGTAAATATCTTATTGTCTCATTTAAAAAAAAAACAACAATACTCATTTGGAAGTCCTGTGGGAGGAGATATTGTTCAATATGATATGATATAGTAATGTAATTTATTGTTACATACCAGCTCCTTACAGGAAATGTTTAACTATATTCTCTGCATGTCCAACATGTCCATACATCAGCCGCATCTAAAACAGAATCAGACTCAGGGTTGATTCAATAGAAGTGATGTATGAAGAACACTCCAGTACACACCTGATTGTCATGTGGACTGTGTGTATGGATTGGAGTGTCACATGTTATGACCCTTCTCCATCTGTGCTCCTAGAAGCGTACTTACATTATGCATGTGCATGTCATTACTGTGTGTCGTTGCTTTGTGCGTGTTCGAGTGTGTGTTTGTGTTTGTTTGGTTAATGGTTCTTTAAATAGATGTGGAAGTCACATCAACCCTCTCATCTCCTCTGCTTTTAGAACACACACACACACACACACACACAGACACAACCACACACACACACACACATGCATGCACACAAGGAGCAGTTGTGTGTATAGGGAATCATTAGCTAAAGTGATGCAGGTTTAGCTATCATGAATCACAGTGGCATCATATCGACAAGCCAGAGCCAGCAAGGAATTCAAAACGTGTGTGTGTGTGTGTGTGTGTGTGTATATGTGTGTGTGTGTGTATGTGTGTGTAAGGATTACCAGTATTTTGAGCTGGCAGCAAGCCCAGCCTTCGTCCCTTGTTCCCCATTTTTCTCTGTCTCTCTCTCTGCCACCGTGGTATTTCCCAGAGGAAACTTAATTTGCTCTCGCCCACTTTCTCCTGTCCCTTTTCTCGCCACCCTGCCCACCGTCAGTGTCTCCCTGTTCTGGGTGGCAGTAAGTGACAAACCAATTTGGAGGCACACATTACCTTCTCTCCTTCTGTTGTTTCAGCAATCAGCAAACCTCGCCGGGGAAGGGAACATCAGAGTGGAAGTCAGGGCTGAACTTTGTCCAACTTCTGCAGTCAAGGCAGGCCGTTAGCTTTGCATAGGTTTCTGCTGCAGGTTAGCGACAACACCCTCGAAATGCTTTCACCGTTGTTCCATCTTCTCATCATTTGCTCCCCTCTTCATCATCCTTTCTGCTGAGTCCCTCCCTCCCTTAGTAATATCGTTCACAGTATACTTCTGATGATGGATGGAGAACCAGTAACAGTAGAGCAGTCTTCACATCCATCATGAACTCAACAACAGCACAGTTAAATGCATCTCTATTTTTTTTCCCTGGGTCTGCTCTTCAGAGTTCAGCTGTGTCACAGCCTTTCTGGCCCCTAGCCAAATTCTTCTCAGGCTTTTAAACCAATCACAGCAAGGCTCAGTAGGTTGTTTATTTCTCAGTGTTAGAGGTATTGTTGACTGTAGTAACATATTCATGACCATTTTTTCCTTTTTATCAGGTTGTTCAGAATGAAAGAAAATGCATTCTTTAATAAAACCTTTCCCTGGGTAGACCCAGAGCTAGCTGGTGGAATTATATATCCCTTCTGGCCCCAGGAGGAACTAGAAGACATTGTTGGGGAGAGGGATGTTGTGCAATTGTGACCCCGGAAGCTGGATAGATAAAATATTCCTAAAAATATCAACTGAAGTTTAGCAATGCTACATGAATGCCCTGTATTCACCAGTTATAATCATTTCTCATGAATGATGGGATCACCTGGGGACAGATGTTGGTACAGATGTGAGGGCTCCCAAAGGACACAAAGCGATCGTACTGCACAGACGACATTTGTAGGTTGTCTCTGCCTTAGTTGTCGACGTACTTTTACTTTCACTCATGCACTGCACTTTTGAAATTTCCCAAAATCAAACAGTCGATTTATTGACACTTTATCTGGATTTTTAGGTAAAATATCCGTAAGAAGTGAGTGTAATCTGATCCGATTGTAATGCAAGACACATTTCTGTGCAAACAGACAATAAAGTCTTCTCTTATCTTCTCTTATCTTAAAGGGATACTTCACCCATTTGCATTAAGCTTTGTATCATTAGAAACCTGGTAGTATTTTTGAATGGTCGTGCATCCCGCCCTCATTTTCCCCATGAGACGGGAAATCTTTGTATTTCTTGTCTGCAAAAGGAGCTTCCGATGACGCAAGAATCATCATTTTGTGTCATCGGCGGCTGCAGTGGTTAGGGGGGGGATCGAAACTACAACGCTAGTTCCTCATATTTTCGACCACTGACGCTACAGACCAATCACAGATCAGTGGGTGGGACCTCACGCCCAGAAACAAACCTTAACGTCCGCCATATTGCTTGGAAGCTATGCCAACAGGCTATATGGAGAAAGCTGATCAGAAAAAATTATGTTTCAACTTCAAATTGAATCGGATTGAATCGGATGTTGGTGGCTATCTCTACGAGCCGCAATATAGCGGCCTCCTGCCTCGGCTGCTTTCCTCTGTTGTGTTTGTCTTGTGGAAACTTCCTTATACACGTAGTAGTAATTTTGACCCACTACGAGGTGCATGTATGAATGGAAAGCTCCCTAATAGTTACTGTCTTGACATTGTGATAGGGCCGATGGTCATGGAAGGACTGCCTAGTCTCCATAATGGGGGCATGGTTGTTGTGAATGACGGATCATTTGTGTTTCTTTCTTGTCTCTTTTAATGAGTAAAGTGTACGCTTTGTCTACAGGAACTGTCTTTGGTTATATTTGTCATGTTGTAATAAAATAGTGTCTGCATTAGCATAGGTTATGTACAAAGAATCCTAAACTGCTCTGTTCACAATAATGGTTCAGTAAGGGACAGGGAAGGGATCCCTGAAGGTCGGGGGAAGAGGATGAGACAGTGCCTGGATTTGGGGCGCGAGATGAGACCTGCGATCTTCCAGTGTGGGGAGGACACAGGAGACACATAGAGGAGACAAGTGAATATAGAGACTCTAGGCCACAGTGTAACTCATAAAGTCTACTGAGGAATGGAATAATAGTTAAGTAGCATTCACATCCTCTCGCTTGCTTGTCAACAGGAGTTATGTGGAGATTAATTCTAATGCCAGATGTGAACAGCTGTACCTAAGGCTGTTTTCTTGTAATTGGATCACCCTGGACGGATGTTATTGCCAAGTGTACACAGGGCCTACGCTGATAGAAACATATCACTTACATTTTGTTTGTCTCTGTCTGTTTTGTTTCTGTTTCACGCTGCCCCTCCAGCTCCATCAGCGCCTGTAGAACTCGGACCTACTCTGGGCTTGAAGAAGTCTAGTTCTTTGGAGAGTCTCCAGACGGCCATGTCGGAGGTGAATAGAAAGAACGAGTTCCTCCCCTTTCACCGGCCTCGCCAAAACATGGTCCGGGGAAGAGGCTGCAACGAGAGCTTCAGAGCAGCTATTGATAAATCTTATGACGGCCAGCTGAAGATGACGATGGTAAGTACTGATAAGGAAGAGTTTTTGTTGTGGTATGGCACCATTTCTTTTTGTGCATGTTGTATCAATGCAGTTACCATACTCAAGTGTGCGCTAGGTGTAAATTCTACCATCACACAATAAATGGGGAGAAGAACAATGAGAATCAAAAAGATACTTTGTCTCATTGACAATAATTCAACACTGATCCACACGTCAACTTTAGGTGCTGGATGATTGTTGGCTTCTCTGTGAAGTTAACTGAAAAACAACAACAAGAAATCAGCAGCAAAAAACCCCATCCCTTTGAGCGCTGGTGGCACAGTGGTTAGTGTGCGCGCCCCATGAATGGAGGCTATAGTCATCCAAGCGGGACGCCCAGGTTCAAATCCGACCTGTGGCTCCTTTGCCGCATGTCATTCACCGCACTCTCTCTCTCCCTGATTTCCAATGCGATCCGCTGTCCTAGCTCTCCAATAAAGGCAAAAAGTCCAATAATACATCTTAGAAAAACAAACAAACAAAAAAACCTATCCCAGCTTGAAGTCTTTACACATATCGTATGAGATAATGCAGAAGTAGTGCCTCACTATGTCTCACTATTTGTGATCCGATCCCAATCTGGACTTCAGCTTTAATTATTTATCCAGGAGCTAAATGGTAGCTGCTCGGTTTGTTTCACCGGAAGGTGTGTTTCAATTCCCAGCTGTGTTATTAGCAGCAAACTCTTATCAGTCAGCACCCGAGTAATGAGTCGGGCTGTTTCAGATCACCACACTCACACAGGATGGGACTAATAGGGCATGTCAACAGCACACACACACACGCAGTGGCCGCATCTGTCACCATCCTTCTCAACGTTCAACACTTTGAAAGCGGCCGTTAATTGACAGAGAACAGTTCTCTGAAGTAGACTGAAGATCCGTCTCCTCTTCTCTGTCTTTGTGTTTTCCCCCTTTTCTTACTTTAGAAAACTTTTTTTTTCCCAACTCGTATTCACTTTAGTACTTCTTCCACACTGCCATCATCTAGACAGCACAAGTGCACAGTGAATATTTAGTCAGAGTTCATCTGTAGCTGATGAATTGTTTAGCTGGATCCAGCTAATACCGCAGCGCTTCACAGTTTCCAGTGAATAGAGTTGTCAAGAGGACTATTCAACAGAGGCTTTGAGTCATTTGCTTTGATGTCTCATGTCAGCTGGGATGGATTATAGTGCGTAATACTTTTTACTCCTCTCGCTTTCACTTGTTCTTCACACACCATCAGTAAATGGAGGATATTTCGTGGGGGGTGGGGGTCCTCAAACAAAATAATAGTACACTTATTTGTGCCTATATAAATGCCTCACTAGGAGAGTAAAGGGAGAGGTACATTTGTTTAACATCTCTTGTTGTGTTTCTGTTTTGTCAAATTGACTAAATAACTCAGTGTTGGCTTATATGTGACAAATGGAACATCAAAAAATGCATCACTGCTGTAATTCTAATGCCAAGTTTACATAAAAAAAAAAAAAAAAAAACATGTTTGAGGGCGCCGGTGGCCTTGTGGTTAAGTTGCACGCATGCCCAATCTACAGAGGCTGTAGTACCCGAAGCGGCAGCCTGGGTTCAAATCCGACCTGTGGCTACTTTCCCAAATGTCATTCCCCACTCTCTCTCTCTCTCTCTCTCTCTCTCTCTCTCTCTCTCTCTCTCTCTCTCTCTCTCTCTCTCTCTCTCTCTCTCTCTCTCTCTCTCTCTCTCTCTCTCTCCAATTTTGGACTCTATCCACTGTTCTGTCTCTTCAATAAAATCATAAAAAAATATAAAATAAAACACTTGACAGAATCTTACCCCCTCTGAGTCTGAGCCAAAAAGTCGCCTCCCAAAATATTAAAAACAATTAACAAAAAACAACAACATTGGAGTGTTCTTGACTTTACAGATGTGTTTTTTAATTAATGAACCATGGTGTTTTTCATAAATAATAATTAAATGTCACAGGGCCATTATACAAACTATTCAACACCCAGGGAAAAGCAGTTGCTTCAGTTATTAGTAATGAGGTCTGGTCACGTTGTTATGACCCGCCTCTTAATGACAAACACAAGGAAAACATACAGTTTAACTGAACGGCACAATACTTTATTATGAAAACACCAAAAATAATAACAATGTACAACAGGAGTGAGGTGTGTTTGTCAGTAAGTCAGTGTATTTGTTGTTGGGTGAGTGTGTTTGCTGCATGTTGTTTGGTGTGAAACTTAACTTACAAAGTCAACTACTACACAAAAACATGTTGCAACGAGGAGCGAGAGGCGACGACTCCACTGAGCCACAGCCGCCCCACTGGAGGTGCAGACTCTCTTGAGGCCGCAGAAAGCAGTGAGGACAAAGTGCATGATGGTGGAGGAACTTTATTACAGGGCCGATGCAGAACACGACATCAAAGATTATGCACAGTTTGTCTAGATAAATTAAAGTTGTAACATGCTCTAAATGTATCTGAGCTATGCTCTTTAGACAATGAACCATAGATCATTTAAATAGGACAACATAACCTTTCATAAAGATGCACACACACACGCACACACACACACCACACACACTATAAGAATCTTAGAAAAAGTTAAGTGGAATTTTTCTGTTGTCATTTTCAGTTTTGAACTCTTGTAAGACTAACCAGGTCTGGCACATGGAGCCCTGTGTCGTCATACATACAATTATATATACACGCACGCACGCACGCACGCACACACACACACACACACACACACACACACACACATGCACACACAAAACACACACTTGTGCACACAATGACAAATTCCATTCTGTTGTTAGACAGTCTTTGTAATTAAAGCTGAAGTGACTAGCCTCACAGAGTAAAGTCTCAATTAAAGTATCTCATTTGGTTTGGTTATCTTTTCAAATCTGACAAGTGTTCAATGTGTGTGTGTGAGCGTGTGTTTGTGTCTGTTGTGTATGTGAGATCATTGTCATTGAAGACCATGCCTGCAATGTGTCAGACATGTAATGAGGCATCACCGTGAGCACTTTGAAAAGTTTTTTTTTCTTTTCTTATTTTATCGAGTTAATTACTTCACTGAGTTAATCAATCTGCCACTGAGACGTTGAATCAAAAAGTTTCAGCATTATGTGCATATGCGCGTTTCAGTACTTCATGCTGATTAAGGCCTAGTGCTAAAACGCGTCTGTTGTGTTTCTGTTCTTCCCCAGATAAAGGAAACTTAAAGGACATTTGTGTGCTGACTTTTCTGTCTCTTTTCAGTTTTTGGGAAGTGACTACTGTTAAAGGTTTAGGATTTGCATTAAGCAGCTTATTAGTAATTGATGTAAAATTAACAAAACCATGGAAATGGAAACATCTAAAAAAAAAAATGTGTCATACTATCACATGTGCGGCTCTTTAAAACACTGTTTCCCCCAGCTCTACTTAATCTTAATCTATCTCCTTTGTTTTTTCCTCTCTTGGATATAGATGATGATTCTGAGCAAAGTTCAGGCCGTGACACCCCTGCGAGTGGTTCGTCCCGCCAGGGAGCAGGAGATCGGATCGAAGAGAAAGGCAAAAAGGACAAGAAGAAGAAAGCGAAAACAAAGAAGAAGGAGAAGAATAAAGGAAAAGCGAAAGAGAAAGAGAAAGAGAAAAAAAAGAAAGCAGTGGAGCCTGAGGAGATGGAGAAGAAGAGCAAGAAAATAGGCTTCGGCCTGCTGAGGTAGGAAACTGTGGAAGAATATGTCTGTGTGTGAAAGTGTGTTTGTTGTTTGTGCTTTCGGTATTGTTGTTTGTTGGAGATTTTTCTTTCAAAGGAGGAAAAAGCTTTTTTTGTAGATTAAATAGTGTTAAGCTTTTTCACTCTCATCCTCTATATAATATAGAAGTGAAATAACAAATATTGTGTTTCTTGAAATGTGACATTACTTTTGTATGCTCCTGAATCCTACTAGATTTTGGTTACATAAGCCCTGTCCTAATTTAATCTCAAGATATTTTACATACCTGTATATCTGTTATTAGGAACACCTAAATGAGCCCCACTCTATGCACACCTCAAACATTCATACTGGACAAAAATATAACCCTCAAGTGTGAACACTGAGGTCCCCCCCCATACACTATCACATGCTCACAGGCGCACAAAGACCACTCTTAAGAGCTGTGCCCCAATTTCCTTAAGAAGTGCTGAAAATTATCTGTCAGACCTATTCCATGTGATTAACTTTAACACCATATCTTTCGGTATGAATGGAGTGAAGGTAGAGGCACAGAATGAATAGGCCAAAGTGTTCCAATGTACAATTTGTACCTTCTACCTTAATTCCTACTTAATGTCATTTTTATCCACCGTGGTAGTTCATGAAAAGGCATTTCCCATGGCTATTACATCGATACAAATCTTAAGAAAACACTTGCATGCAATTTGACCTATAAATACAGCTGCAGCCTTTCAAAACTTACAAAAGCACACTGTGTGAACCAGAACATGGAGAAACACTCCCAGATTTCGAAGTCAGATTTAATCACAATAATTCTATCTCAAAATTGCATGTTATTTGAAGGGAAATTTTGGCCAATTAGACTATTATACTAATTTTACTGGATTGACTCGGTTCAATGCTCTTAGTCTGTCCACTTTTTTCTTCACCTCTTTCCATCATTTCCTTACTCCACCCTCTGAGCTTTTACTCTCTCATACCTACAGCACAGCAGTAAGTTATTGGTGTGATGTTTTTCTTGTTCAGAAATACTCCTTGTAGGGTGTAAAAATGTTGTGTTTATCGTGCACTAGAGTTTGTGAATGGCTCTTTATTCTTAAGCCTCTTTGTGATTATGTTAAATCAATGTTTTTGCACAAAGGATTTTTTTTTTTTTTTGCAGATGAGAGGGTTGATAGAAATAAGTATGTGTCTTTCTTTGTAGAGTCCTTACAAACACAGCCTACTGATCCACCTGCCTCCATATTTATCATTTTTTTATAAAATGTGAGACTTTTGGACACCTCGACCAATCATTGCACAACACCCTACTTGGGGTTGTGAGATATTTTAAATATAGCATTGGTGGCAATTCAGTCAATTGCCCTTCATCATATCTAGTGAGAAAAAAGACCAAAATGGTAAAAACCCATTCTACTCCCAACTTGATAAAGGCTCAGTTCACCCAAAAGACAACTATAGACATTGCTAGCCATGTTTTTCCTTGACAAGTTGTTTTTTTGCAAATATATTTTGCAATGCATCCCAGGTAAAGTTTTGCCATTCCCCAATTTATTTTATGGGCAGCTGGCTTGTCATATCTTTACTATTCTTTATTTCTAAGTAGGATTGCCTTGCCTTCCACCACAGTGTTCCTTATAACATAAAGTAGCAGAAGAAGACACTGGTGACTGTGACAAGTACACAGTCCACCCCCACCCTCTGTAGAACCGGCCCTCCATCCATCCTTTCATCTGCCCGCCAATACGCCCATCACATCTTGCTTTAAGTGCTTGTATAAAACCATATAATACACCCAAGGACATTATAGCTTTCCTCTATAGCCCATCTCTCATCCCCATAAGAAGGCCTTGATTAGAGCCCACTCATAATTTTCCTCTTCTCCCCTTCCCTTCTTTCTGGCCATATTTCTAACCTTGCGCCCGCTCTCTCCACCCCCCCCCCACCATTCCTCTAATCTTCCATCATTTCATTTTTTTCCCCCTCTCAGTGTGCTCCCTCCAGCTCCAGCTCCCTATCTGCATTTGATTGCATGTAATGGTGGTAGACCCAGAAGGCAAAATTGTGCCATTCAGTAGTTAAGTCTGGGCCGAGCTGCTGATTTGTCATATTCATCTGAGGCCAGCTTTGATTGGGCTAATGTTCTGGAGCAGCAGGTGTTGTTGGATACCCAACCTTACTCCAACCTCTGTGGTTTGAAAGAAGTAAAAGTCTTTTTATTTTATTTAGAAGATTGTTTTATGAAGTTGACAGACAAAATTAATTAATGATGTTTCTATCCATATATCAGCTGCTAAGACATACATTTATGATACTGCTTCAAATCTAATATTTTTCTCCTGTTATTGTGTGAACTCTCTTATATTTTCTGTTATTAGGTGTTATTTCTTAAAAATCCAGGATTACAATTCAGTTCTCTCTATCGATTTTAAGAGGTTGAAGGGGTCTAGAAATGTAGTCGTAAAATGTAATTACTCTAGTGTTTTCTATAGACATTATTTACACGGACATTAAAGAAGTCGGACTCAGATGGTTTGTTTGAAATGCCCTTTTAAAGAGACAGCTGGCCCACTAATTTGAACTGCTGCCACCTGCCAATCAGCTCTGCCAATCATTTGTGTGTGTGTGTGTGTGTGTGTGTGTGTGTGTGTGTGTGTGTGTGTGTGTGTGTGTGTGTGTGTGTGTGTGTGTGTGTGTGTGTGTGTGTGTGTGTGTGTGTGTGTGTGTGTGTGTGTGTGTGTGTGTGTGTGCTACCATCATGAATATTCATGGGTGATAAAACATGATTGGTCACACAGTCAGATGGTTGTCATATAGTTGGCTCATATAGTGGCTGTGAATCTTCCTCAGACACCGCTTGTGTGTGTGTGTGTGTGTGTGTGTGTGTGTGTGTGTGTGTGTGTGTGTGTGTGTGTGTGTGTGTGTGTGTGTGTGTGTGTGTGTGTGTGTGTGTGTGTGTGTGTGTGTGTGTGTGTGTGTGTGTGTGTGTGTGTGTGTGTCCATGTTTTTGTATGTGTTGCCACCAGATTGTCTGCAGTTGTGTCACCTTTTGTTTCTCTCTAATCTGTGCAGCTTCCATTTCTTGTCTAGACCTTAAAGGTTGATAGTCAGACAAATCTGGCAACCCTTTGATTCATTTACACCACTCACATAAACATCCACATGCTCACACTCTCACACATACATGACCACAATCATATCTAAGTGCTCTGCAAATTTATCAAAGACAATTAACAAGGGTTGAGGGTATGGTTCTTCGAGCTGTTTAGTCATCTGTGTTGTGAAAGAAAAAGGAGGCAGAGAGGCCATCTGTACAAAAAAAAATAAATATGGAAATCTATTAGGTGAGATCGGGACCGTACACAGTGTAGCAGAATCAAAAAAGGGCCCGCCACTGCTGTAGCCAGTGTGTCATGTTTACATGATTGTAAATGTGTGTTGTAAAGTATGCGTACATGCTGTTCATTTTTCAGTTTTGAACGGTGTGAATTGATGAGAATCTTTGATTATATATGCATAGCTGCCAGCTTGGATGTCATCATGCACTGCTTTACTCATCTCCATCTGTACTGTGTGTGTGTGTGTGTGTGTGTGTGTGTGTGTGTGTTTGGTTATGTTTGCTGGCCTTTTTTTCATAATATACTTTGAGTAGAATAAATCAATATGAAGGTAGTTTTACCTTAGTTATTTTCATTTTTAAGCAAAACTCGATACTCAAAACATAACTGAAGACGCAGCCACCAAATGAAAATCATATGAAACGTGGTAGGAAGCGCTAAAACTGAGACGATGAATTTTAAGATCAGAGGACAGTGAGACTCTTTGAAACAATGATTCCACGATTCCAATGCCTACTGTTCTTATCCCCTTTTTATTTTATTCTCCTGACTGTCTCTCCACCCTCTACATGTGGTCATAATGAAATACATGATAGAACTCAGGTCCTCCATCATCAGGGATCTGTTAACCCATCTCCCCTGTTAATGTCTCCTTTCAGTGTCCAACAGCAATTAGTTAGGACGTCTTTTTCCAACCTTTTTCTTACTTCGGATAACAAATTCCTCTTTTTAGTGACTTGGGGCTTGAATTCTAAAAACTTCAGTGGAACACTGTGGAAACAAGATTGACGTATCACATTTCGTCATTTAAAAATAAATAAAATACAAAAATGAACTGAAAAAATTGATTCTTGGACAAAACAATCGCATTGAATTGCCACTTTCAGATATATGTTCCCTTTGCTTTTTATTGCTCTTCCGATAAGCTAATACATCATGTTGGCCTTTCAGCAATAGAGCAAACCAGACACATACTCAGGTTTTGTTAAAGGTCTGATTAAAGCCGTTATGTGCAGACAAAACTCGGTCTTTTGACCAGACATTGCTTGTCATTATTCCATAATTAGAGAGCACATGCTTGAAAAGGGGGGGAAGGACCCACCAGCTGCCAATCAAACATCCTGTGACAGGAAGTTATTGGAGTGTCGCGGTCTGGTGTCATGCCTGCCAATCATCAGTGTGTGTCCGCTTCCATTTGAATGTGTGTATCTCTGTGTCTCTCGGCTCTGTATGTTTGCATGTGTGTGTGTGTGTGTGTGTGTGTGTGTGTGTGTGTGTGTGCGCGCGCTTGTTATCGCAGCACACTTGTCAATCACTCCATCCCTTTGGGATCCATTTGCCAATGATCACAAAAAGGGAGGCGTGTCTAGAGTGGCAAAGGGAGGAAGTGAGAAAAGAGCTGAAGAATAGAAAGAATAGGTGGAGTGAGAGTCACAGATGTTTGCACTCATTTTCCGCTCGTTTGTCAGTAGGTTTTTGCCTCATGCACTATTCAGAAGCACACGTGTGGAACATCCCCCTGAACACTCTGCTGTGTTACAAGAAGTGTGTATGCATGTTTGTGTGTCTAGTTGTTTATCGTTAAAACCTGTTTTACTCTTATTTATAGTTTACCGGTTTAACGTTGGTCTGGCTTGTTTCTGCATCTGCTTAAGGCTTGACAAGATGTATGTGGGGAAGTTTTGTAAAAGGATGTGGCATCAACAAACTATCCAAAGGTGTTGTTTGATGTGTTGGGGGGGGGGGGATTCTTTATTTTACTTTGCATGAAGCTTTTATGAACTTCTCTATGACTTCCATCACTAAATGTGTCTTGGAGAAAGAATGCAGCCGGCTCTGCATTCTCAAATATAATATATCAGAATTGGTTTACACTCTTAGAGAGAGTTACAGTACACCCACTTGTGATGATAAGAAAGGATGAGAAGTGAAGGAGGAATGTGTCATTATCCTCTTCTGAACAGTTCCTTCTCATTTGATCTTTGAGTAATGATATGTATGTACTGTATGCAACACATTTTGTGGCGGTACATTGTTTTTTTTTTTAAATCTCCATCCTACCTATGCCTAAAGAGGTTGGCGATACAGAGACTTTGTCTTCTATATTTCTAATTAAACATCTCTGTCATGCATATGAGCGGTCATACACTTTCCATACAGAGCGTTGTGTTAGGTCATTAATATTAATGATTCATCACTGTTCCTGCTAATGACAGAACAAGGAGTAATATATTCACTCTAATTAGCTGCTAATCAGCCGTCCTTACTCTGATATTCCTTGTGAAATTAATAATGTTGTAGTTTGTCCTCTTTTGATGTGTTCTGGTCATTAGACGGTGTGTGCAGGGGACAGGCATGTGTGTCTGATGAGCCTGTTTAACTTTTTTTTTAAAGCATTTGTCTTTGTTAACCTAATTTACTATTAATAGTATTTAAATATCCTCGTCATCTGTATGTCCATGCACACGCTTCATTGTATTTCTTGTTGAACATTTTTGTTCTTGTTGAGATTATTTTCCCTTATATTATCTTTCAACGTCGTGTTTGTGTGTAAGCATCCATGCATGCACATTGGATACTGAGGGAATGGAGGGAGGATTATTAGACTGCGTTTACAAGGATTCAGACAGACTGTAGACATCAAACAAATGTTCTTTGTGGCTGGACGGTTAAATTCATTGAAAACATTATATGGCATTGCTGACCAAAGTCAATGGGACGGTGACACTGTGCTATGTCACTTGCAAGTAATAAGAACAACATCAAATCTGCCTTAGCTTACATGTCCCTCTGATTGTTTTATGCCTTTGAGGCAAGACATGAAACAGGAAGGACAGATAGAAGATAGTAGAGGAGGCGATGGGAGAGGTTAAGTGCTGTGAGAGAAGTGTTTAATACCAAGGGGGCAACATGCCAAACCAGACGAGTAGATGAAGGGGCGATGGCGAGGTAAGCTATGGATAGAAGGGAGCAGAAATGAGGGTAATGAGAGAAAAGCAGGGGAAGTGCCGGGCTGAAATTGGAGGAAAAAAGGTAGAAAGGAAGTGAGGTGAAAGAAGGGTAAGTGAGTAGAAGAGAGAGAGTTGAAGTGAAGGGTAAGCCTCTAACTCTGTTTGCAGCAGTAATTAGAGCGATGCTCGTCCCCTGTGAGGTAAATACACTCGCACTGTTAATGCATGCATAGTTACAGCCTTCCATTGCCCATTGTGCCCCGTTCAACACACAGTGAGTCGTCATTATTATCCCCCCAGTACACATTAGGCATTGAAAAACGCATCACCTCAGTTTTAAGATTTCTTTTTTAAATACAGCAATGCACAAACATGCACAGACTATACACAAAAAACAATGTCATTTGCAAAATCACTCACTTTGAATTGAAAACCATTGTTGTTTAAATAATGTATTTGTATGTATTTGTAATGTACATAAGGTCAGAGTTTGCATTAGGCCAGCACGATATGTTGCAATAACAATATGAAGTACGATAAATCAACAAAAATGTAGGATTGCATTTTAACCGTATTTTTTCCTACCTAGTGTTCTTTCTGTTTGAAATTGTACTTACAAGGTTTAACACTCACACAGGTGTATAAGAGGCAGCGCTCTTTTTCAATGAAAAAATTGTTTTTAAAAATGCGTCTTATACACCAAATCTTACACTACGTTAAATGGAGGCATGCTGGCTGAGAAAGAATTGCTTGTTGACATAAATTAGCTTGTTCATCGCAATAAATTCAGACTTTTTCAATGTGTTTATTGCAAATAGTCATATCGTGATAACGATGCATTTGGGATTCGTTGTGCACTTTAAAAGATGGATATACTGACTATTAAGCCGTTTTGACTGGCTTAATGGTATTTTACTTAGAATAACTCTTGATGAATTAATAAGAACTTTGTCAGCATAAAAGCTGCCTTCAGAACACTTATTTCTAAAGAAACAGAAAATACAATTCAGACCACATCACACCAAGTGTCTTCCTCTACTGAAATTCTAATAGTGGTTCATGTGTCAATGAACTTTTCCTGTCTCTGTCACTGTCTTGTAGACAGAGACTCATTTACTTATAAAGTTGAGTCGTGTGTGTGTGTGTGTGTGTGTGTGTGTGTGTGTGTGTGTGTGTGTGTGTGTGTGTGTGTGTGTGTGTGTGTGTGTGTGTGTGTGTGTGTGTGTGTGTGTGTGTGTGTGTGTGTGTGTGTGTGTGTGTGTGTGTGTGTGTGTGTGTGTGTTTCTTTGATTCATGGACTTCCAGGAAATGGAGCAGTAGTGCTGAGTGTTCCTGCGATGCTGACCACACGCAAACTGTATTGACAGTGTGGTTTCAGAATTGATATGTGGCCACTCTAAACAGGCCTCTAAGTCTATCATGTATTTGTCATCTTTTAATTTAGATTAGGCCGTATAGATTCCATACTTACAGAAGTAAGCAATAGCAATACATCAAGCAACCCTCTCTCTGGTCTGTTGCACTATTCAGTGTCTATTCATCACAGCTAAGAGCTTTTAACCAATACAAACAGACTAACATACAGCCGCTCTGTTTGTTTATCCAGCTTAGGTTTTCTTTAGATTATTCTTTATCCACGTTTACCTGATTAAGTCACCCTACCCCAAAAGGAAACATATTTTCAGATGTATAATTCAGACTATTGTTTCTGTATTTTTCAACGTTTGATGCATACCTCCTTGTCTTGTTGTCTTCCACAATTCTCTTCTCCGTCCAGATTTGGGAAGAAAAAAGACGAGAAGAAGGAGGCCAAAGCCGCTCTGCAGCGACAGAAGTCTGACATCCTGAGTGATCACGAGTTTGAACGGATGAAGGAGGAGAGGGAAAGGTGGGGAGCTTTCTGGAAATATTGTTATTTGGATTTTGTTTTGCTCTAATTTTTCTAAATATTGTCTCACATGCTGAGTATATTCATTTTTCTGTATTTCGTTCGAGAAGAAAATCAGGTTTTAATTTAGATTTCTCCATTGTCATTAGATTGATGATTATTCACTTGTTACACTCATGGAATACATTAAAATCGCAGCGTTAGCATCTCTGAAATTCCTTTATTGATTTGTATCTTGTCCATGATCACACTTCAAATCATGCTTTACATTACTGGCCACTACACAAATGGTCTGTTTTGATGTTTGTTGGTTTTGCTGACTGTGAAAGAAATGGTCTGTCTCCATTTTTTAAAAACATTTTTCAAGAAGTTTCCTTTAAGTTTTCCTCGTTGTGTTGACTTGGTTACACTCAGTCTTCATTTGAAGCATTTCTAGTTGTTAAGGTGCTCTCTTATCTGTCTTTCAGAATTGAGGCTGCGCATCCTGAGCTACGAGAGAACCGGTCAAAAGACCAGCAAGGTGGTGGAGTTGGAATGGCATTTCCAGACGTTGAGGATGACGACACAGACCCGAACTATGCCAGAATACAAACTTTCAGGGATCGTGATCCTGGCTCGATACCACAGCCACTGCCTAAGTCTCCCCCCTATGGTACAATACAGCACACTTATGCCCGCACCCCTTCCCCACAAGGCCCTTCTGCCTTTCCAGGAAATCCTGGAAACAGCCCAGGAGCCATCCCTGATGATGACCACATTGATAGGCTGTATGCTAAGGTTAATAAACCAAGGGCGGGACCTGGAACTGCATCTCCTCCTCTTCCTGCAATGGCAATGAAAGGTAATGCACCATGACATCAGTATACACCCAAATGATCTAAAATGTAATGGTATTTATTAGGGCTGTCAGCATTAACTAGTTCATTGGGATTAATTATGGTCTGAAATTAAGGCTTTTTTGTCCCTTTAATGGCAACAAAGATAATTCTCTGCAGTCTTATCCTGTAGGTAAAGTGATGGAAAACAACAACACTGCTGCATCTTTGAATGTCTCATTTCACTTTAAAAAACTTCTTGACAGGGGCGCGCTGGTGGCGCAATGGTTAGGGCGCGCGTCCCATGTATTGAGACTCTCGTCTCAAGCGGTAGGCCCGGGTTCGCTTCCACCCGTGGCCCCTTTCCGCATGTCATTCCCCGCTCTCTCTCCCTGGTTTCCGACTCTATCCACTGTCCTCTCTCTGCATTAAAGGCACGAAAAGCCCAAAATGAATCTTTAAAAAAAAAAAAAAAAACTTCTTGACAGCTCGGTTGAGGAGTCAAAAGTAATATCCACAATATGACATCAAACATTTCACTTTTTCCTGTTCCTTTGAGCTGTTTTTGTTCAGTTTCTCATTTTTAACTACTTCCTTTTTCTGTGTTTAAGTTGATGTCTTAACCTTCAATCTACCAGAAGTTCCTTTTTTATGTCAAAATTAAAGCTAGGTTGAATTCAAACAGCCACTGTACTCTCAGCTTCAGACAATAAAACATTTCAAAATAGAAGCCCAACAATTTCAAACATACAATTAAGAATGCAAATACTTCCGATTAACTACTGAAATTTAGTGATTAATCGTGATTAAGAATGTCAAACGATTGAGAGCCCTAAGTTTCTACTTGCTTTGAACTTTGACCTTTTGAAAAAAATCACCACAGAGATCAGTGATTTCCTCTCAGCTCAAAAGTCCCCTTACCTTCATTATGTCTTTCAAAGCTCAGTTGATTTTGGAAAATACCAACCAGTCCAGACATTTCCACACACACACTTCTGTTCCTGTTTACATGAGGCTTTGTAGAGATGTTTTCTGATGTTATTCTCATGTTATTTCCTTCCTGCATAATAAAAAGTTTATTATTATTATTTTTTACTTTATTAATTTAAAAGCAGAGGATTCTGATTGCTCCAAAACTGCTTTTGTCAGTCAAAACTGTTGGCTGTGAAAGCAGGTAAAGCATTCATTAGCTAATTGGAAGATTGGCAGTTCAATTCCTGGCTCTGAGCACACAAAAAAAATAGTTCTTATCTCTTATGTTCATCTTAGCTATGAGTGATTGCTCGACTCGAATTGACACTGAGGGTCACCAAGCCTAACAGAGAATGGTCATAGCTGCATCTGGTCTTACCATGAAAGTCCACATGAACATTCCCTGAGCGTTAAGGGTTGCCAAGTGTCACACCTACATCCTGTCTTACCTCTCTCAAACTGTAAACAGAATATCCATGTCTGAGCATACAAAAAGAATTATACAGGTAGCGAAATAAGGACATTTATGGAGTTTAAAGAAGTCCTGCTTGTTCTTTGCTTCATGCTCATGTGTTGAAAGGTGGATGAAGTTCTGTAGTTTGTAGAGCTATAGAATGATTCTTATGGCCTGACTTGTTGTAATGTAATCAATATTTATCATGTCCCCCCCATGGTGCTTTAAACTAGCACGCAACAAGGTTTATTTATGAAGAAGTATATCACCGTTTTTTCAAATGGATGATTATGACATAATGAGAGAAACAAAAGCTTTAAAAAAAAAAAAAAGAAAAAAAAGAGGAATCTGACAGCAATCAGCACCTGCAGGGCAGTGGACAGCTCCCTGTTTCTGCCCAACACATCCAAACAGGGCCTACCTTTCAAAACAAAACCTTTTGATCAGCTCACTGTCTGAGTAAACTTCAAGGGCGTCTGTCCAATCAAGGATGACTCTCTCTCTCTCTCTCTCTCTCATCTTAATTCTGTTTCATTGATCTTTCTGAAAAACAAGACGTGCTGCCAATGTAATGCCTTTAAAGTCTTGTGACTGTTACGTTGCTGTTTGTATTACCTTGGATACTAATCTGACTTTCTAAACTGACGTCTGCTCCAACCTAGGCGTGGACATTAAACTCAGGGGCAGTAGAAACAGGGCTTTAGTAAGTTGTTCTTCTTGGGGCGGCTGTGGATCTGTGGTAGAGTCAGTCACCTGTCAACCAGAATGTCGGGGGTTCAATCCCCAGCTCCTGCAGGCGCGTGCCAAAGTGTCCTTGGGCAAGACACTGGCTGAACCCCAAATTGCACCTGCTGCTGTGTTTGCGTCTTCATACTCATGGATGGTGGTGTGAATTGGTGAATGTGACATGCAGTGTAAAATGCCTGAAGACTAAAAACAGCTATACAAGCTCAGGTCCATTATTTACCGTGTGTCTCTAAGACTCACATAGTATCTCAAACAGCCTCGAGAGGCCAACAAGTGGACTGTGGGCATGACAAGTGCTGGATCAGTTCTGATTGGCACCACAGCGCTCTAGCATCAGTGAATCGATGTGAAAAGTGTGAAAATGTGACGTGTAGTGTAAAAGGCTTTAAAAAGGTCTAGACTCAAAATTTGCCATGTAAGAGCAGTCAATTTAACATTAAGCAAATTGGTTTATATATCAAAATGCCACTTTAATAGAGTAGAGCATTATATAAATTGGTCCTAACTCTTGTGTAGTCTTTAAATGTCAGAATTTGCTGTTTTTGTCAAAACATACTTCATTACTTAATTTTTTCCTTTCTAGACTTTAATTTTAAGCACATATCCCATTATATGATTTTCTGTAGCTCCATTAGAATTTGCTTACTGTGATTATTTGGTAATGCAATTATACAAGGGCGTCAAATATTCAAAACAGGTTTGTGTTACCAGAAAACCTACTTTTTTTTTTGTTCAACAGAGAAGGAAGGTAAAACATTTGATGGTTAACAGATCTAATTTTTGCGCATTTAGATTTCTTATGAGTCTGTTATATATCTATCAAAGGTTTTACTTCTCAAAAACCCATAATTAAGAGGATGAAAAAGTAATTCCCATGGATCCAGTGTGAGCTTTTCAAGAAGGTGAACTCTTTGTTGTAGACCCAGTGTTCATTTGTGGCTATTAGCTTTAATTTATCCAATATTTATTTACTTTAGTGTCCTCCTTCCTTCCTAAATGTCTCGATTTTGGAAACCTTTATTCATGACCGCAGCAGTCCTGGCAGATAGATCCAATCATTTATCATCACTTCCTGAAAGCTGATGATGCAGACAGAAGAGAGTCCAGGTATTGGCTGAAATTAATCGATGGTGCCAAAAAAAGAAGGTAGTGTGTCAGCGCTGTCTGTATGTGTGTGACTCTGTGCAACTGTGTGTGTCAAGGGAGGCCAGAGTTGCAGTGTGCCTGTGGGTGACAGAGATAAACAAAATCGCTAAGGACTCCATTCCATCAGCACCACTGCAAAGATATGAGCACAAATAGACCGCTCTCTCTCTCTCTCTCTCTCTCTCTCTCTCTCTCTCAAGAGCTCTATCTCTTTCTCTCTCTCTAGTCTGCACACATGATGAAATGAACATTAAAAATAAATCAAAATCACTAATATGGTCTTTCTGGTTCCCCTCGATCCCCCTTCCCAGGTGACCAATGGATCGTGGCCGAATAGACTCTCTCTCTCTCTCTCTCTCTCTCTCCCCAAAAGACACGCATTAATAAACTGTTGAAATGAAAGATTTTTACAAACTGTCTGCTTGTCTTCTGGGCTGTTTGGCGATTCTAAGCGGTGATCTTTCGGTGTGGGTGTATCTGTACACTAAGCCGTTGATCCCTGTGGTTCTGTGACTCTGCCTGTGTTGTTAAGCCTGCTCGCAAGAGTGTCTGCCCGCAGCTGGCTCTCCGACTCTCCGCCTGGTTCCGACCTGTCTTCTGCCTTCCCCCTTTTCCGATTGTTAACTTAACTTGTTAATACGGACTGCTTCCCGTGTTGCCGAACCTGCTGCTGTCAGCTGCTGCATAGTGCCGTTGCCCTGTGTTGAACTTCTGTGTGAACGTGTGTGTGGGTAACTCCCTTTCTACGCTCTACTTTTTGGGGTTTTCTCTGAAACTAGTGAGTTAAACTGATTTATTAAAACCAGCAGTTCTCTGTCAAAAGCTGAGCAAAAATGAACAATCGGCGGCGTTGGGCAGTCACAAACTATAGCGGCGTTAGTCGTCTAACGTCATTTCTCGGCAGCTCTGTGTTAGCATCTCTTTGTTAGCATCTCTGTGTTTCTGAGTCAATTCGCTTTTTAGAAGCTTAGCTGTTTTACTGATGAGTAGTGTGGTAGCGTCCAACAAGACACAGAATTGCAGCGGAGCGCTTTGTCTGAAATCAAACCGCTTAGGACGAGTAGAAGAGGCCAGCTGACAAAGGACGTGTATTTTTTTGTGACGTATCCACTTCCGTATGGCAGTTACATCTCAGTCTAATCCTTGATGACTTTGTTGTCCCTGCTGCTGTGCAGACATATGAACGGGAGTACACCTACGGGAACTGGGTCAGTAAAAACAGTTTGAAAACCACAATCATAGGGTAAACATTTTTAGTAGCTGGCCAAAGTTTCAGGTGATTTACTTGAAATGTATATAAAGCTCTTTTTTTCTGTACAGATTAGTCAATAATAATAATATAATAATTCCCCCATCAAAATAATGTTCCCCTTCCCTTGCTGTGGTTAGAATGGTGGGGCCAGTGGCAATTTTCACTAAAACATTTTGCACTCAAACATACCTGCTGCACATCCTGATTAAATTCTGAAGCTTACCTACTGGAAACCCAATCACAAATCAAAAGCTTTCCTGCTGCAGCCTGATGACTGATGACAGAGCAGGCATATATATATACCACCACTGAAAAATAGTGCTTAAATCTTTCAAAAGCCTGTGATGAACTTTATCAGAGAGGAGCAACAAGTTTAGATTATGATGTAATAGTGACTGTTAAGAGGACAGCGATCTCACAGCAGACATCTGATAGGATGCTAAGCGTCCTTTTGT